CTATAACTCATGGAGTAGTGGTAGATATCTAGGTCTGTAGAGATTCGATGCGACATTATAGACCTGGTTTTGGTGATCGCAGACGGCCTTTGAGATGGCTATATTCGGGTTAAGTGCGAAACATTTCCGCACTGCCAGTACTCCTCCAAGGGAAAATCCACGGCAACAGACTACCGAGTTTTGCAAGCCGCGAGGGAAGGTAGACTTGTCGTTGAACCATTCCACACGCATCGGTTCGGCTTCGTGATAGATAATTATCTGTCGAGCCCTAGGAATTCTTTTCCGCATGTCATTGCCTTATGATTATCCTGTCCAAAAATTTTAGATCTATTCACTGCGCGTGACCAGGCGCATGATGAGGAAGGCAACTTGATTCCTGGAAAATGATGACGCATACATTAATGGATCATGCAGCGCATGTGCACGTGTAGTTCAGGACAACGAGGCGTTCGAGACAACGCGATCCCATTGAAATCCAAATGAAGATTTGATTATGGAATAGTGACATGAGAAGCTGGAATGGAATCATGCTAGTGCATGGCAGGATATAAGGACCTCAAGAAGTTCCAGCTTGAGAGAAATTCTTAGGTGGGAGAATCCGGATATCGTGATGGGACATTCGATGTGCAGGGTGAAAGGTGTAAACGGAACGCTATGTACAAGTTTGATAATGCCTAAATGGTGTGAACTGGAGGACGATGCGGGAAAAGCTAGGCAGCGAGTCAAATAGGAAGCGAAGCAGACACGCCATGCAGGGACGGTTGTCGATAGCAGGTAAATATTCGAGTGACAGAGTGAGATTTCACTACACGACACTGCAACCAACCGGTGTCTGTGGAAGAAAGTCACGCCTCGACATTCAATTGCAAAGCACCGACGCATACTAAAACTTCGGCTAACTCCGGTACATAACAACCCGAATATAAGTCCCGGAAGGGAGACTACAGGGAGGGTGCGGAAAGGCACGGAGTTGCGGAACATCTAGTATTCACTGGCACTACTTAACAGCTGATCCACTATGGAACAGGGAACCCAGCATTGGACTCAGCCTCATAGACAAGGACGCTCCAGACATTATATAATTTCGGATCCTCAGTCGATTTAGGTAGGACCCCAGCCTCTACTAAAGTAGACAGTCGATTGACAATCAACGGCGATTCTTTCAAGTCTTGTGGATATCAGCGCTTACACCTTGTCTCAGCTCTGTGGTACTCTCAGAACTTGGCTAAGCACCTTGACCTTGGCAAGTGAATCTCCGAGGCTCGCAGTGAGCAAGCCGACTGTGCACAACACCCACACCGCACCACACCGCACCAACTTTCTGGCGCGGCTCCTGGTGCGACGATGTGCGCTAACAGCCGTCTCGCTCACCACAGCGGGAGTTGTCAGGAAGGGAATGGTCTAATCTGGCATTTGGCACTTTAATCGTTAACACCCACCTTGTGAGCAGAGTGCATCGTGCACAACACCCACATCACGCTAGCAGCTCCTAGCATGAATGGTGTTGCAGATGCCCCGCACACTACAGTGGGTGTATCAGGGCCTCAGCGCTGAATTCACAAGACATGAGATGGGACAGTGTTGTAGTCGCGTCTAGAAAGGAGGGAAGCATCTGTTATGGGGAACGGCAGAGGGAGGTGAGAACCTGGTCTCCCTTATATCCCAATGAGGCATGGATGATCGCTTCAGCTCGCCTTACGTTCGGAACTTTACTAACAAGATATTGCAAAAAAAAGTTGAGGTAGAATTTTTGCAGAAGTATCAGGCGGAATCAACACATTTGATTCCCCCAATTGCTTGTATGCCATGAAAGGTGAGAAAGCCGTTGATCCTTGCTTATTTATTTTTCTAGTTTAATGGGAGTAAAAGAAAGTTTGTTATAGTGAGACACTAAGGGACCTTGCCTCGCCTCTCATTTATTTGTTCCCTGATGAACACGCTGAACACGTGGACCCCCTAAATCGCCCACAACGCGGTTGTTTGCCGCCTGCCGTGTGGGCCCGTGGCTGACTTTTTCAGTCACAACGAAGATAGTTTTTTTTGTAGATCCCTTGGGCCCGGGTGGCCGATGGTTTCCCGTGCGAGGGTTTGGTTCATGTTCACCGTAAAAATGCATTGACCTAGACTCCCGTCAAGAAATGCGGAACCACCGAGATAGCATCTCGACTGAGAATTTTCGGAGGGTTGATACTTTCCAACAGGCCTCCCATGTTGGCGGTCCGCCTGGTAAGTCTCTCCCTTGCTTCAGTCAGCTAGCCTTGACAGCTCATATTTTCAGTTTCAATCCTGTTGTAACAGTAAACCTTGAAGAAAACAAAAAGCGCGAACCCTTAAAATCATCCTGCCTCACTCTCTTTGAATATTCTCCAGAGAGTTCTTCTGTTGCGTGCCAGGAGTGACCTTTCACAATGATAGCTACTCAGGGGCCGAGAATCTTCGGTCAAAGTTGAGCGCTTTTGGGGCGTTCCATGATTTTTCTGCCATAATATCCGCGGATCATTACCCGCTCACGATGTCCCTTGATTCACGGCTAATATGTAGACATCTAGATCTGTCGATGTGGTATTATATAGCTGATTTTGGTGATCGCAAACAACTTTGGTAGTTGTATCTAGGTTGGGTATCGAACGGTCCCCACTGCCGGTAGTCCGTTACAGATTCCTAGGCGAATTTCTGCGCAACAGGCTGTCTCCACCATTACAATATCCCAATACTTTCCACCCGTTCCCTGGGAGTACTAGACATTAGGTGGAATGACGGAAAAGGCACCTGAGGAAAATGACGATGCGTTGTAAGAACTTATGTACACGAGCAGCTTAGGACGTGGCGACGTTTGCGATAATGCGATTCCATTGAGATCTAAATGAAAATTCGATTACGAATTGAGATATAGATGGAATAAGAACATGCTGGAGACTGGGTACCGGAGCCGAATTTCCCTTCACAGCGTGTGTCTGATAGGATAGGAGCTCAACAGGCCACGTCCCCAAGTTTTGAGGTGATATGAGAAACTAGTCTCTCGTGGCGATACACTGGGTGTTCGACAAGCTATCCTGCTTTATGGGAGTGGGGCATACGAGGAACTACGGGAAACGCAAGTACGTGGGGTCTCAATGCTCCATAGAACGGATATCCGGCCCCATTCTCAGTGTACGAGAGTATACCAATGTATGGATGTGGACCAAAATTCTCCCCGATTTCATCTAGTCAGCGGGTAAATCCAGAGCGGCGAACAGGACTGAAATACTACGTGATGAGAATGTCCTCCGTGGATCTGATAGATGGAGCGAGGGTGCAGAACACTGGCATGATTTGCAAGAGTCAAGCCCTCAAAAAAAACTTGGGCTTAGCAGGCTGTAAAGGATCACATCGCATGTGGGAGGGAATGTATGCATTCAGGCAGTCATTGGCAGTCGTGTTATAGGTCGACCACAGCACATCGTAGATAGTTGAATTGGGAACATGCAAGGAAGCCAACGCTCCGTTGGGAAATGCAGCAGTCAAGGATTATTAATATGCAGCGGTGGAAATCAATGCCACTCAATAGATTTGCGTACGTGCTCGCGAAACTCCGCCCAGTACTCCACAGGTATGGCAGCGGTGGCAGGTAAGTATCTTTCCTATGATAGAGCAGGATTAGACGATGTCCGCGACCTCCATTCAAGAAACCAACCGAAAGGGTGGTCGCAATCCGTATTTTGTGCTGGAACATTGACGAGGGAGATCACGCTCTCACACCCAATTTTACAGATTCCAGCCGATCCCCGTTGATAGGGTTTCTGGTGCTACAGAAATTCGGCCAACCCAACCATGGAATCCTGCGGCACGGAAGTTAGATGCCATGCAATGAGAAGGTCTTCTACGAATCTGGTAGACGGGGTGGGGGTCCATAACAAATGATAAGATGGCCAGCGGACTACGATAAATTTGAAAGAGTCAATCCCCCAAGAGCCTCGAGCCAGTTGAGTACAATTGGTCAGCGGCATGGGACGCATGTGTTTAGTGTCGAGCAGAGCACGTCACAGGCAGTTGAATCGCGATCACATACATAACGGAACCATGGCTGGATGGGAGAATCCAGATATCATGATGAAAAATTCAATGTGCAGGGTGATGGGTGCGAACGGGACGCTATTTGCAAGTACGACAATGCCTGAATGGTGTAAAATAGAGACCGATACGTGAATATTTTGGAAAAGCCAAGTAATCCATCAAGATGGTACGCCACGCCGCAGGGATGGGCATCGATAACGGGTAAGTATTTGAGTGGTGGAGCGAGGCTTCACTGAACGACACCCTGGAGCCTACGAGAAATCAGAGCCGCAAGCTATGATTTGCATCAAAATCAGTGTCGAAGAACCTCCGAGGTCACGCCTCCACATTCGGTTGCACTGAGGTTCCCGACCGCGGCTGGTGAAGAATTCTGATGCTATCCAAGAGTAGCGAGCAGGACTGAAAGAGTATGTGATGAGAATTTCCTCTGTAGATCTGGCAAATGAAGTAAGATGGCCAGCACGCAGAAGTCAAACGCTCAAAGAGCCTCGAGCCTGGCCAGTGGCACGAAACGCACGCACTCAAGCAGTAAGTCGTGTTCTAGGCCTACTGCAGTACCTTGCAGCTGACTTAGCTGGGAATGTACAAAGCAACTAACGTTGCGTCGGGGATGCAATAGAACCTCGATGTGCAGGGTGACAAATTATAAATCAAACACTGCATACAAATAAGACAATGCTTGAATGCTGTGGGCCAGAGAAGGACACGAGAGTGTATAGATGTTATTCAATAGAATGTTTATACTCGCGAAACTCCAGTGAGTACTGGTACTCCACATGTACTATGGCAGCGACAAGAGGCGAGAAACCGTATGACAGAGGATGGACTGGACGACCAGCTGTCCAAAAATCAGGAGCCAGCACCAAAAGGTGGTCGCGAGCTGTACTTTGTGATGGTTCTGTCTCAATGGCACCCGCGGCCTCGTGATATACGTGGCAGTGCGGCTACCCCTACTGGTGAAGGATCCCGGTGTCACAGACATTCAAGAGCACTGTCGCCGACGAGTGAGTAGGCTTCTGGGATGTCATGGTAGGGTTATCGCGGCTGAGGGTGTGGTTCTTCGGTGATGTAGCGAGTCTCTGTTATCCCAGGCATCGATTGTACTGTTAACATTCACGTTTATTATGGGTAGATGACATACCTCCCTACCGAGCAAGATCTGCACAGATCACCACTCTCGCCGATGGATCATCTGTCGGACCGGTGGCACCGCAGATGAGCGGACTCTTGACAGTGGCTGGATCGTGCCTGGTGCTCCCCTATGCCACTATTGTAGTTTGACATCTGCTGTGATCATTGACGATATGGCAGTCAACAGTTTGTTCGCAGATCGGAGTGTGTGTCCATGTAGCAAAAAAGTCCCTTACACATTCATCCGCCATGCCCACATACCAGCATTGGAAAAGCACATACGGGCCAGATGATTGCCTCTAGTATGGGCGAGCAACTGGGTAGCCCTAAGTTCGCGTTGGCTGGTAGAGGTCCACAACTTCTCTCTTGTCGATTGTTCCCATTGATGTAAGTCTTCAGGGAGGCACGCATATGGGTTGTATAATGAAGAGATATTCCTTGAGCGGACCTTCTCCTTGTGGTACCAGCTGGGCGAGGGTCTATCTGCAATGTTGTGGTGGTTCGACATGGTGTCGCTGGTGAATTATTGCGTATTCTCACCTTGAGGCATGTTGGTGGTCTGCTCTAGCACCTCAGCCATACAGTGTTTCCGCTCCAGAAAGCATGGTAGAGCCCACATCAAGCGGAATTGCGTGCCTTTCACAGAGAAGGGATAGGAGGGGACACTTAAGTCAGCCTCTTCCGGCTTTCGTGGCGGGATAGACGGGGGAGATGAGTGAGTGAGTGCCAGGAAAGGGGGAATGAGTGGGGGCCTCGCAACACGGGGAAAGCGAGAATATGGGCTAGGCCCCTGTCCTGAGGCAGTGCGTCCGGGCGTGAAACAAGGTGAAAGGACTTCCGCTGCGCACGGCTTGTAAACATTACTGACAGTCGCGAACGCTTTCTTCAGCTATACGTCCGGGATCGTTAGAGCAACAACGGTAGGCACGAACTAGTGCCGGCAATTTGTGTTAAGTCTCTTGCTTGGACTGATATCGCTGGCGGCGAAGCCCAACATAGTGATTGCTCAACGAAGAACGAGGGACCCGCAAGCTGGGTCTTTGTCTGGACTATCCTTCCCGCGATGAACCCAAAAATTGTATGTATGGTTTCCATCCATTCTTTGTCTTCATGCAATTCGGACTGACCCTGCCTTCGTGAACAACAAAGTCCTATTCAAGTTATATTAGGGGAAAAATTGTTAAGTCAAATTAGCTCATGATATTAGCGGACGACCCTTAAAGGTGTGTCAAGACACTGCTCTTTTAGGAGTCAGCCGTCTTTACTGGACTGTATTTGATACAGATCTGCTTTTTTTGTTGGCGAGAAATAATCTTCGCCACAAAAAAGGCATATTGTCACCCACAATCAAACATTTTGTCTCACTTTTTCTGAACCCAAAATTAACCCAGCCACTCCGGTCATCGTTGCGCCACTTTCCAAGGATTGTACAGATATTGGCTACCTCGTGTCCACCAGCTTGAGCGCTAATCATTGACCCCGAATCACTGGCCATTTTAAGAGGGATTTAGAATTGCTGAGTATCTTTTCCTGTATCGTACCACTTCGATAGGACGTGTGCGCTAAACCTGTTCGGTCATGGGGTGCCGCAATATTGACTACGACATGCTCATTTGCAGCCGGAAAATATCACGGAGAAAAACAACCAGAAGCAATCCATACGTCCCTGTCCCTAGGCAATCTTTTCACAGGAGAGCGCCGGGAAAGCCCTTGCAATGTATCAGATCCATATTATGTACTCAATGCGATTGCCCGCATCAACACTCCCATAGAGCTCGGACGCATCTGGAAAATGCGTCCGTTTGTTCCATCAACCAACATCGCGATCCCATTCAATACTTGCCTGTCGCCACGGGGGTAGCGGTTATAGAACATTGTTGCGGATCACATCGTGGGCAGTGTTCTATCTTTTCTTTCATCTTTAGGCAGGATCTACAGGGCGTGTAGCTTCTCGTCGGAAGCGCCGCCTCGCTGCCTTGACTTCTGCTCTCCAGGGAAACGGGTGATCTCTCACATGGTTCATTCCGGTTGTTTCTCGCAAACCTGCATTCCAAACACCCGGAAATGGGCGTGTGCAGGCCCTTGCTAGGGTTGACCATACTTCGATACCCGGCTGCACCACCCCTTAGCCCGGAAAGCCCCTGCCCACTTTCCCACTCTTAGTAGACTGGGACGGGGAACCTAATCCCGTTCCGATACCATACCATTCCACTTCCAGCTCTCTGTCTGGTTTTCTCTGTTTCTTTTACTTTTCCCTCTGTTATTGTCACCGGCAACGCGAGCTAACATGTTGTCCAGGCGGACCTAAACCTCATCATTACATTGTGCTATTTTGCAAGGATTCTACAAACACTGGCCGCCTCGTTATTCCGTAACTTGGACGCCAATCATCTTCCCTGAGTCGCTGGCTATTTCGAGAGAGATTTGGACTCTTCCCCTATCCCAATAGAGGCTGGTAACTCTGCCCAGACTTGCCAAACCTTTTCCTTGTGTCATGCTATCTTGACAGGGGGTGTCCACTAAACCACCCTCCCGCGTGGGGAGATTATTCTGGGCCGTAGCTCCCGCCGAACGGGCCACGTATCCTGCAGCGATTGCCCTATTCGACACAATATTAGATGACTATTCGCCGCTGGAACATCGTCTCGGAGAAAAGCAACCAGAAGTAATCGGTGCGTTTCGGCCCCCACACGATTTCGCCACTAGTACATCCGAAGCTCTGTGTGAGTCCATTCGAGAGCTTCCCGACCCTCTCCTGGAACATGCGTTCGTTTGTTCCATCAGCCCACTCGGAGCGTGTAGCTTCTCGACAGAAGGGCCACTTCGCTCCCCTGACCTGTGTCCCCGGAAGGTGCGACCTTCCACAAGTACCATTTGGGTTCCCGTCCGGTCCACTCCGGTCCCCCCCCCCACGAAGCCGCATCTCAGGACCTTCCTTCGTTGAGCTTCCTTTGTTGCCATCGTGCGCGGGTGGAGAAGTCCAACACAGTGATTACTCGACGAAGAGCGGGGATTCCACAAGCTGGGTGTTTATTTGCACTATCCTTTGCGCGACTCGTGGAGATGAATGCACCAATCGTATGGCTTCCATCGGTTCTTTCTCTTCGTACCGTTCGGACTGGCCCTGTCTTTGTGGACAACAGATCCCTATTCGAGTTATATTCGCGGAGAACGCAGTAGCCATGATCCAGATCTGCTTTTTCTGTCGACGAGGAATAACGGTCTTTGCCAGATATTGCCACCCGCAACCCGATCAAATATTTTGTCTAGCGCTTGTCCTGAACTTTAGATCACTTCGAGTACTCGGGTCATTGTTGCGCCTTGATTTTCGCTCTCAAGGACATCTGGTTCACCCCGGTTCCCGCCCAGGAAGCCACACTCCTAGTTTATCCATTCTCGGTGGACTTGCATGGACGCCTTAACCTTAACTAGCGTTCCATACCACATCTGGCTCTCCGTCCGATTTCTTCTTCTTTACTTAGAAAACCAACTACATGCAGTGTAAGCACAATCTCCTAAGCCAACTATCGCTGGAGGCTGCTGACTGAGTTTCTTCCCGTTAAAGAGAGGCTGGTCACCTGCCTAGACTGAGTCTCCATATTACATCCCCGATCCTCGTTATATATTAATCTCAAACTTCCACTTCTGTATTATTTCCTTGGAGTAGGTTCGAATGTACGAAAACCCATCGATAAACAAACGGCCGTGGCGAAGAAATTGGGTTTAGCCCCCATCAAGCCGGTTGCACAATAAGCAGCCTCAGTAGTGTACGTGGTATGTAAGGCTAGGACTTCGCTTGACGTGTCTTGCATGCAGTTCGCATCCGGCACTATTGTGTACATTCATTTTCATGTAACATACATAGGGATCAATTTCCTGTTGGAATGCAAGTCAAGCGCGCGACACCCCACTGACCCGACACCCCCTGACGCGTCATGCCCCTGCCGATCGATATAACGCGAGTGTAGCCGCCAAGAGCCAACAACATTTTATAAATTCAATCCACAGTGTGTCGCCAACTTAAGATATATTAGGAGGTGTGCCCCAATTACACGAGTGCCTCTACTCGCCAACTCCCTGTTCCTGGAATTCCTGAAATGAATGAACATTCTAGATACCGATTAATAGGGGAGCTAACGCGGGAACTCAGTCTCCATAAATGAAGCACGGCCCTAGCTTTCAAGCAACAATACACTGAATAAACAACGCGTGCTCAGCAGCTCCCACTTTGTGAGCGGGGTGCACTTGCACAACACCCACATCACACCAGTAGCTTCTGGTGTGAATGTACGTTGTGACAGTCACCCCGCACACCACTGCAGGAGCCGTCACGACGGACAATGCATGAGAACCCTAGCGCCAGGTTAGAAAGATATAAATGGGAGCTACAACGCTGCAGTTGTGGCTAGAAGTGGGGAGGGAATTACTGCAGGGCACAGGACAGGGAGGCGCAGACCCGGGCTCCCTTATAGCCCACCTAGGTATAAGTGGCCGCGTTAGCTTTTTCCCTGGGCACTCTATGCGGCGGAAAAGATTTTGGTGGAATTTTTGCAGAAGCATATATCCGAGAAGGCTAGATACAATGGCAATGGGTTCGTTGCGGGCTCAATATTGCTAATTTCTTGAATGATAATGAAGATAATTTCATTTACAAGCGCTGATCCTTGGGGGTAGGGTTGCTGGTGATTTCCCATGCTAGGGATCTGTTTCACATTCGCTAGCATATGCAAACATCTGGGATGCACTTCGAAAAATACAATTGCCAAGTTTGAATTTCAAATCAAGTCGTGGTTTGTTATCCGATGGGCTCCTCGTGTTGGGGGTCTGCTCGGTGGGTTGTTCATGTTCGCTCCCCAATCAGCCTTGACTGTTCATTCCCGCTAAATCTTGGGGGAAATCGTAAATTCTCAAAAGTATCCCTGTCGTCCCGAATTCCCTGTTGAATATTCTCCAAAGAATTTTCTATTAGTCAGACCCTCACTCCGTTACCTCCGTCCACCAAAGAAGACCCTCTAATTGCATGGTCTCTCGGTCTCGCTCTCTACTCCGCCCCGTTATGTGAAGCTAAATTCATTTACTAATTGGATGAAGTCGGGGAGGAGACTTCGACTCGTTGCACACCTAGCTACGTTTGCGAATATTATACTACAGCGCGCTGAAAATAAGGACTGGCCCCCATCGGGAGTTCATGTACGAATGGCAGTGAGTTCTTTGGAGTCCATGTACTACGCATTCCGAAGCACACTGCCCCTCCCATACTGAACCTGATACCTTTTCGAACGTACGACACACTGTATGAAAAAATGGAACTTCATCGAATACACGTTATGATAGGAATTTATTCCGTAATCAAATTTTCATTTGGATTTCAATGGATTCGCGTTGTCTCGAACGTCCAGAACCACACGTGTACATGAGTTCCTGTCAACAAGGCATGATCCGTTAATATATGCTTCCGAACCGAGATGCTTTTTTCATCATTCTACTGCCTGGTCACCCACAGGGATTAGATCTAAGATTTTGGAACATAATGACATGCGGAAAAAGATTCCTAAGGCTCAACAAATAAATACGTTAACGCCGCCACGAAGCCAAAACCGACGCGTGTTGAATGGACAAAAGAGAGGAATTTACTTCGGTGGACCAACAGGAGTACGGGAATGTTCGGCACCCAAAACAACCACCTCGAATGCAAATAGGACAATTGAAGGATGATGTTATCCAATGGACTGTGTATACATTCGCAAAACTCTATGTGAGTACCCGTAATCCACAGGGCAGGACGGCAGGTGAAGGTTCGTTTAACAGAGTAAAAGTCTATCTAATATTACGAAGTCATAGAGGCTGGAGTCTTGCCTAGAGTAAAAGGTGGTTGCGGGGCTGAACGAGAACCCGAGGTCACGCCCCCTGCATTCAATTCTAAGGTTCCCAACCGATTCCCACTAAAAGATTGTGGTGCTACGGACATCTAAGAGCACCATGATTGATGGGTGGACGGGTTTCTGCGATGTCGTGATAGGATTTTTGAACGATTCATTGACTGTGGTAGGAATTCGCGGTGTAACCTGTTATCCCTCAGCGACATCGTGTGATCAATGTCCGTGCGTCATCTCAAGGAGATTGCATTACACAGTACTCGATTTGAAATTCGTCACCCTGTGCGCACGTCGAGGGTCCCATAACTACTGCATCTCCGACGCAACGTTGGTCGCTGGCCGCGTTGTACGATGTCAGCCAAACCGCCTCAATGTGTTCCAGGTCGACCAGAGCACGTCAAAGGTAGTTGTGTTAGGGACGCATAAGGAAGCCAACGCCGCGTTGGGGAATGCAGAAGTCAGGGACCATTGATATGCAGCGGTGGAAATCGACGCCACTCAATAGCTGCTTGTGAAACTCCGAGTACTCCACAGGTGTGGCAACGGTGACAGGTGATAAAATATCTAAACGGTTAATCTCAAGGTAAGTTAGGAGGCGAATTATACGAAAGGAACTAACGTCAGTCTCGAGAACGAGAATTGAGGGAAAAAAGAAAAGAATTCAAATGAACGATGATACAATAACAATTAGATCACGTGCCCGAATCACCGATTGATTACTGCAACAGCAGGTAAGTACTATGACAGAGAAGGATTAGATGACGCCCGGGACCTCCGTAAGAAATAACTCCAAAAGGTGGTCGCAAGCCGTGCAAATGTCGACGAGGGAGGTTGTTGTATTTTGTTGCCCCGCGGGTTTGTACGTGGCAGTTGCGACTCGTTACATCTGACTGTACATGAGGGGCTCGCCAATACAAGGTAGGGTTGTCTGATTGGTGTGGTCGGGTTGACGGGGTCTTCTGGGTTGTGGTGTCTGGTTTTTAGTCGTGTCTCGGTGTGCGTGGCGGTGTAGTGCCCACGCCATTCCTCTCTAATATCTATACGTGGGGTTCCTGGGTACTCCTGTTCCCTGTTCCCCCGCTTTGCGTCGCTCTCCGTCCGCCCATTTTATCGATGGCCCACCACTTCTTAATGAAGTCTGCTAGTCCAAGGATGCCTTTGGGCTTCCCCATGAGAGTCGAAAACCTGCTCTGACGACTGAGGCCCAGTACGTGTCTATGTTTCTTAAACTGTGGGCATACCTAGAGGATATGCTCTTTCATCTGGTTGGCTGCTCCGTACGCGCGCTCTCTGCTTTCTGTGTGGATATCGAACCGGTGGTAGTATTCGCCTGGGCTGGCCGGTGCGGGACTGGACCAGCCTGCTGAAGGTTGTCCAGTCTAGCGAACTGAACCTGGCGGTGGGTTTAATTGATGGGGGGCTCTGGTTTGTTGCGTGAGATCCTGATCGGATCGGCCTGGGCGTGCTTGCCCAACGTTCCTTCCATTCTTCCATGTCCTGCTTGCCGTAGGATAGTGAATGGTAGTGGGGTCTCTGTCCGGGCTGATGTGAGCTCGTCTGCTGCCCCTTGATGTCACTGTGGCCGGGGCACCACCTTTTTGCCGTCCAGAAGCCTTCCGGGCGTGTTCTTGGGCTTCCCTTGGAAGATGCGACCGATCGCATTCGTATTTTCTGAGTAGAATACTATGTTTGACGGCCTGTGGGTGCGTGAGTCGTTTTCGATGATTGACGAGAGAGGTTACGCTTCCACATTCAATTCTAAAGATTCCGGCCGATCCCCGTCGGTGAAGAGTAACTTCTGTGGGTGATCATCACCTCTGAAGTCCACTTCTTCGCCGTTGCAGCTTGAATCTCTCTGTTGTCCTGGCATCGATATCGTGTTGTTGTGCCGTTGGCGGTTACGAGGGAGGTTGCATATTTTGACCTACCAAGTGAGAGTCGCTTAGCCCCCCCAAGTCCTGTCGAGACGTTCTCGAGCCTTGGACAGTCCCCATACTCTCGCCGATGGATGATCAGTTGAACCGGTGGCGCCGCACCCTTTGGCAGTGGCTTGAACCACGCCTTGGTGTCACTCTGTTCCACTATTGTAGGGCTAGGGCTTACCTGTTGTGATCATTCACAATATTTTCTCACATGGCAGCCATCAGTCACCAGAGTGTATCGGACATTTCATGTAGCAAAAAAGGGCTTCATTCGTTCGTCACGCGCATGCTTTTAGCGTTGGAGAAGTAGATATGGGCCGAATGATCGCCTCTGCCGCGGAGAGCAACCGGTCACCCCAAGTTCGCAATTAGTTATGCCAGAAGAAAACTGGGAGTAGGGGGAACATTTCATCAACCGCTTGTGATTACTTTCAAAGAACGTATCGAGGTTGCGGCAGAGACAGCTTCTTTCTTGTCGACAGTGTGCTCATCGATCGAAGTAGGATCATGCCAGTCTTCAGCGAAGCAGAACTATATCCAAGTTGTAGCGACTGTCGTTCTTGAATATTCCCCAAAGGATCTTTCTGTTAGTTACGGTGAACGACTTTCTCACAACGCCTATAAGTCAGGGGTTGAATGGTAAAAGATGAGCAATCCGAAGTTAATTTTGACCGCATTCAATATTAGTTTACACCTGGTTTTGGTGATCGTAGACAGCCTTCGAGGTGGCTGTATTTAGGATGAGTGCGAAATATTTCCGCACTGCCAGTAGTCCACCAATGGAAAATCCCCTCTTGTTTCCTATGCTCAACTCTACGGCAACAGACTTCCGAGTTTTGCAAGCCATGAGGGAAAATGGACTTGTTGTTCAACCATTCCACACGCGTACGTCGGTTCGGCTTCGTGGCGGCGTTAACGTATTATATAGATGGTTATCTGTTGAGCCTTAGGAATTCTTTTCCGCATATCATTGCCGTCATTATGCTGCCCAAGAATTTTAGATCTATTCCCTGTGGTTGACCAGGCGCGAGGTAGACTGATGAAAAGGGCATCGCGATTCCTGGAAAATGACGACGCGTACATTAATGGATCATGTAGGGCATGTGCACGTGTAGTTCAGGACATCGAGGCCTTCGAGACAACGCGATCCCATTGAAATCAAAATGAAGATTTGATTATGGAATAGTGACATGAGAAGCTGGAATGAAGTCATGCTAGTGGCGGGATATGACCGAAATCCTCATCATAACGTGTGCCCGATAGGACCTCAAGAACTTCCATCTCAAGGGAAATTTTTACAGTGTGTCGGGTGTTCGAAAAGGTATTTATACTTTGAGGCTAAGTATGGGTGGGGCAGTGTGCTTCGAAATGCACAGTACATGGGGATGAGACGGAAAGAGATGCTTCAAAGAACTCGCTAACATTCGTACGTGAATTGATTCTCTCTTTCGATGGGGACCGGTCCTTATTTTCAGCGCGCTATAATATACTGTAGGCGTGAGACGCAACCAGCAAATGAATCTAGATTCAAAAGGGCGGCGTAGAGAGCGATACTGAGAGGCCATGTAATTAGAGGGTAACTTGCAAATCTAGTGGATGAAGTGGGCCTGCAGCGCATGATAAGATGGCTAGCAGACTACGATGAATTTGAAGGGACCAATCCCCAAGGAGCTTCGAGCCTGGTTGGGCCACAGTTGGTCAGCAGCATGTGTCGCATGTATTCAGGCAGTTGAATCGCAACACATAACGGAACCATGGCTGCGTGGGAGAATCCAGATAGCGTGATGGGACATTCGATGTGCAGTGTGAAAGGCTAGGTGATGATTCAAACGGGAGGCAAACGGACACGCCGCGCAGCAGGGATGTTGTCGATAGCAGGTAAATGTTCGAGTGACAGAGTAAGGTTTCACCCGGGAGCCCATCGCAAATTGCGTCAAATTGGCATCAAATATGACGGACCTCCAAAGTCACGCCTCGACATTCAATTACACGTACTAGGACTTCGGCTAACTCCAGCCCAAATATTATGAGTCCCGGAAAGGACTACGGAAGGGTGCGGAAAGGTACGGAGTTGCGGAACATCTAGTGTTCGCTGGGTACTGAGGTTCAGTGGTAAGCTCAGCAGTACTATTTAACAGCTAATTCCCGCTCCTATATAAAGGGACTTGAGGTTGCACGACGCTACCACAGAACAGGGATACTAGCATTGGACTTCAGTGTCCACAGACAACTGGCGATCCTCCGCACCTGATTGTGACGCTCCCGAAAGATGCTAATCTCAGGTTCTCAGTCGATATGACAATCGATCTTTCAAGCCTTGTGACTATAGTGCTTACACCTCGTCTCGGCTCTGTGCTGTTCTCAGAACTTGGCTAAACACCCTGACCTTGACAAGTGAATCTCCGATGCTCCCACGCAGTGTGCAAGTCGACTGTGCACAACACCCACACCGCACCACACCGCACCAACTTGGTGGCACGGCTCCTGGTGCGACGGTTGTGCAGACGTCTTGCTCACCATAGCGGGCGTCATCGGAAAGGAGAATAGTGTAGCGCTACACAAGTCTTCATCGCCTGAGCTTTCAATCTGGCATTTGGCACCCAAGAAAGAACTCGGATTGGCGAATCATTAGCACCCACCTTGTGAGCAGAGCACATCGTGCACAACACCCACATCACGCTAGCAGCTCCTAGCGTGAGCGGTGTTGCAGGTGCCCTGCACACTAAAGTGAGACTCACAACACACGAGATGGGACAATGCTGTAGTCGCGTCTAGAAAGGAGGGATGCATCTGTTGTGGGGAACGGCAGAGGGAGGCGAAAACTTGGGCTCCTTTATAGGTACAGATGATCGCTTCAGCCTGCTTCGGGACTTACTGACAAAATATTGTAAAAAAAGAAATTTGCGGAAGCATCAGAAACGGAACCGATAAATCTAATTACTTGTGGCCTTCAAGAAAGGCGAGAAAGCCGTTGATCCATACTTTATTTTCCCATTGAAAAGAAAGTTTATTGTAGTGAGACGCTGCGGACTAAGGGTCCCTGCCTCGCCTCTCATTGATTTGTCCCTCGCTGAACACGCTGAACACGTGGGCCCCCTAAATCACCCACAACGCGTTTGTTTGTCGCCTGCCGTATGGGCCCACGGCTAACTTTTTCAATCACAACGAAGATAATTTTATTGTAGATGCGGTGGCCGATGCTTTCCCGTGCGGGGGTTTGGTTCGCGTTCACCGGAAAATGCATTGATCTAGACTCTCCTGTGATGTAGTCAAGAAATGTGGAACCACCGAGATAGAATCTCGACTGGGAACTTTCGGAGGGTTGGTACTTTCCAACAGGCCTCCCATGTTGGCGATCCGCCCGGTAAGTCTCCGATCCCTTGCTTCAGTCAGCTAGCCTTGACGGCTCATGTTTTCAGTTCCAAACATTCATTCCCGCTTGTGACAGTAAACCTTGAAGAAAACAAAAGCGCAAACCCTTAAATTCATCTTGCCTCGCGCTCTTTGAATATTCTCCAGAGAATTCTTCTGTTGCGTGCCAGGAGTGACCTTCACAATGATAGCTACTCAGGGGTCGGGAATCTTCGGTCAAAGTTGAGCGCTTTTGGGGTGTTCCATGATTTTTCTGCCGTCAATATCCGCGGATCATTACCCGCTCACGATGTTCCTTGATTCACGGCTAATATGGAGTATTACGTTGACATCCAGATCTGTAAAGACTCAATGTGGTATTATATAGCTGGTTTTGGTGATTGCAAACAACTTTGGCAATTGTATCTAGGTTGGGTATTGAACGGTTTCCTCCGTCACGGATTCCTAGGCGAATTTCTGCGCAACAGGCTGTCTCCGTCATTATACTATCCCAAAACTTCCACGCGTTCCCTGGCAGTACTAGACATTAGATGGAATGACGGAAAAGGCACTTCCATTCCAGGAAAATGACGAAGCACATGTTGTAGGGACTTATGTACACGAGCAGTTTAAGTTGCGACGTTTGCGACAGCCCCATTCTCAGTGTATGAGTATACCAATGTATGGATGGGTTGGATCAAAATTCTCCCCGATTCCATCTAGTCAGCGGGTAAATCCAGAGTGGTGAAGTACTACGTGGTGAGAATGTCCTCCGTGGATCTGATAGATGGAACGAGAGTGCGGAACACATGAGACAACGAGCATGTTTTGCAAGAGTCAAGCCCTCAAAAAGCCTCGGGCTTCGCAGGCTGTAAAGTTAGGATCACATCGCATGTGGGAGGGAATGCATGCATTCAGGCAGTCGTGTTCTAGGTCGACCAGAGCACGTCGTAGGTAGTTGAATTGGGAACATACAAGGAAGCCAACGCTGAGTTGGGAAATGCAGAAGTCAAGGATTATTAATATGCAGCGGTGGAAATCGATGCCACTCGATAGATATGCGTACGTGCTCGCGAAACTCCGCCCAGGGTATGGCAGCGGTGGCAGGTAAGTATTGTTCCTATGACAGAGCAGGATCAAACGATATCTACGACCTCCATTCAAGAAACGGTGGTCGCAAGCCGTATTTTGTGCCGGAATGTTGACGAGGGAGGCCACGGTCCCACATCCAATTCTAAAGATTCCGGCCGATCCCCGTTGGTGAGGTTTCTGGTGTCAACCAACCCAACCCTGGAATCCTGCAGCACCGAAGTTAGATGTCATACAATGAGAAGGTCTTCTACGAATCTGGTGGACAGGGCGAGGGGCTGTAACGCATGATAAGATGGCTAGCAGGCTACGATGGATTTGGAGTCAATTCCCCAAGAGCCTCGAGCCTGGTTGGGTACAATTGGTCAGCGGCATGCGACACATGTGTTCAGGCAGTCAGTGTCGAGCAGAGCACGTCGCAGGCAGTTGAATCGCGATAACATACATAACGGAACCATGGCTAGATGGGAGAATCCAAATATCAATGTGCAAGGATCTGGGTGCAAACGGGACGCTATCTGTAAGTGTGGCAATGCCTGACGTAAAATCGGGACCGATGCGTGAAAAGCAAGGTAATCCAACAGGATGAAAAGTGGCACGCCACGCTGTAGGGATGGGATCCGATAGCGGATAAATATTTGTGTGGCGGAGTGAGACGACACCCGGGAGCCTACAAAAAATCAGAGCCGCAAGCCATGATTTGCGTCAAAACAGTGTCGAAGAACGAGACCTCCGAGGTCATGCCTCCACATTCAATTGCACTGAGGTTCCCGACCGCGGCTGGTGAGGAGTCCTGATGCTACCCAAGAGTAGCGAGCAGGACTGAAATAGTACGTGATGAGAATTTCTTCTGTAGATCTGGCAGATGAAGTAAGAATCAGGAAGAAATAACGAGATGGCCAGCACGCAGAAGTCAAACGCTCAAAGAGCCTCGAGCCTGGCAGGCATTGGCCAGTAGGATGGAATGAATGCATTCAAGCAGTAAGTCGTGTTCTAGGTCTACTAGAGTACGTTGCAGGCGGCTTAGCTGCGAACGTACAAAGCAACCAACGTCGCGTCGGGGGTGCACTGTATACAAATACGAGAATGCTTGAATGCTGTGGGCCAGAGAAGGATGCGACAGTGTGGTGATGATATAAGGTGTATACACTCGCGAAACTCTAGTGAGTACCGGCACTCCACATGCACTATGACAGCAACAAGAGGTAAGGATCCGTATGACAGAGGATGGACTAGACGACTCCCAGCTGTCCAGAAACCAGAAACCAGCACCAAAAGGTGGTCGCAAGCCGTACTTTGCGTCGGAATCGGCATTGGCCGATATACGTGGCAGTGTGGCTACCGCAACGTCGCGCACATGAAGGGATCGCTTCCACATGGCACCTAGGGGACAGTGTCGGGTTAAAGGAACTCTCCGCCTCCTCGGGGTTTGTAATGTCAGGTGGGTTATGTCAGAATCGGCATTAGAGGATCGTGCCTCTGCATTCAACTTTAAGATACCAACCCTATTGGGGAAGGATTCCGGTGCCACAGACATTCAAGAGCACTGTAGTTGGTGAATGAGTAGGTTTCTGGGATGTCATGACAAGATGGCTGAGAGTCCAGTTCTTCGGTGATGTAGCTCGAATCGGCAAGACTCTGTTATCCCAGGCATCGATCCAGCGATACTGTAGCACGTTCCTTAAGGGTAGATGACATACCTCCCTACCGAGCAAGAGTTGCGCAAATTACCACTATCGCTGGATCATCGGTCGAACCGGTGGCACCGCAGATGAGCGGACTCTTGACAGTGGCTGGATCGTACCTAGTGCTTCCCTGTGCCACTATTCGGGGTTTGACAGCTGTGGTCATTGATGATATGGTAGTCAACAGTCGTTCACTGCTTGTCATCTAGAGCGTCCGGCAGATCGGAGCGTGGTGGTAGCAAAACACCCCTCACACATTCATCCGCCATGCCCGCGTATCGTTTGCAAAGCCCATACAGGCCAGATGATTGCCTCTGGTACGGGTGAGCAACTGGATGGCCCCAAGTTCGCGTTTGAGCCACCACACAGACAACTTCTCTCCTGCCGACAGTTCTCATCGATGTAGGTCTTCAGGGAGGCAAAACCGTATATGAGTTGTAAGTAGTATAATGAAAAGATATTGCTTGAGTGAACCTTCTCTTTGGGGTACCAGCCAGACGAAGGCCTATCTGTAATGTTGTGATGGCTCAACATGGTGTCGCCATGGCTGAGTAGATTCTTGCGTGTTACTCACCTTGAAGCATGTTGGTCATCTAGTGCTTGCTTCAGTGCCTCAGTCGTACAGCGGTTCAAGCGTGGCAGAGCCCACGTCAAGCGGAAGTGTGTGCCTTGCGCAGAGAAGGGATAGGGGGGACACGCAGGCCAGCCTCTTCCGGCTTGGGTGGCGCGTTAAACGGGGAAATGAGCGAGGCCTTCGCAACGCGGCGAGAACATGGGCTTACAGGCAGGGACAGGAGGGACAGAAGAGTGAAAGAAGTAGTCTGGGCCCTGTCCTGAAGCAGTGTGTCCGGGGGTGAAACAAGGTGAAAGGACTTCCGCTGCGCACGGCTCGTAAACATTACTGACAGTCACGAACGCTATACATCCGGGAACGGTCTGATCATCGGAGCAATCACGGTAGGCACGAACTAGTACCGGCAACTTGTGCTAAGTCTCTTGCTTAGACTGATATCGCTGGTGGCGGAGCCCAACATAGTGATTGCTAACGAAGAACGAGGGACCCGCAAGCTGGGTCTTTGTCTGGACTTTCCTTCATGCGATTCGCGGAGATGAACCCAACAATTGTATGTATGGTTTCCATCCGTTCTTTGTCTTCGTGCAATTCGGACTAACCCTGCCCTCGTGAACAACAAAATCCTATTCAAGTTACATTAGGGGAAAAATTGTTAAGTCAAATTAGCTCATGATATTAGCGGACGACCCTTAAAGGTGTGTCAAGACACTGCTCTTTTAGGAGTTTCCAGCCGTCTTTACTGGACTGTATTCGATACAGATCTTCTTTTTTTGTTGGCGAGAAATAATCTTCGCCACAAACAAGCATATTGTCAAACATTTTGTCTCGCTTTTTCTGAACCCAAAATTAACCCAGCCACTCCGGTCATCGTTGCGCCACTTTCCAAGGATTGTACAGAAATTGGCTACCTCGTGTCCACCAGCTTGAGCGCTAATCATTGGCCTCGAATCACCGGCCCTTTTAAGAGGGATTTAGAATTGCTGAGTATCTTTTCCTGTATCGTACCACTTCGATAGGACGTGTGCGCTAACCTCTCTCTACCTTCCTGTCATCTGAGGAGACTATCTGGGCTGTCCCCCCCAAACGGGCGGGGAAACTTGGCCTGTTCGGTCATGGGGTGCCGCAATATTGACTACGACATGCTCATTTGCAGCCGGAAATATCACGGAGAAAAACAACCTGAAGCGATCCATACGTCCCTGTCCCTAGGCAATCTTTTCACAAGAGAGCGCCGGGAAAGTCCTTGCAATGTATCAGATCCATATTATGTACTCAATGCGATTGCCCGCATCAACACTCCCATAGAGCTCGGACGCATCTGGAAAATGCGTCCGTTTGTTCCATCAACCAACATCGCGATCCCATTCAATACTTGCCTGTCGCCACGGGGTTAGCGATTATAGAACATTGTTGCGGATCACATCGTGGGCAGTGCTCTATCCTTTCCTGGGTTTTCTTTCATCTTTAGCCAAGATCTACAGAGCGTGCAGCTTCTCGTCGGAAGCGCCGCCTCGCTGCCTTGACTTCTGCTCTCCAGGGAAACGGGTTATCCCTCACATGGTTCATTCCGGTTGTTTCTCGCAAACCTACATTCCAAACACCCGGAAATGGGCGCGTGCAAGCCCTTACTAGGGTTGATCATACTTCGATACCCAGCTGTACCACCCCTTAGCTCGGAAATCCCCTGCCCACTTTCCCACTCGTAGACTGGGACGGGAAACCTATTCCCGTTCCGATACCATACCATTCCACTTCCAGCTCTCTGTCTAGTTTTCTCTGTTTCTTTTACTTTTCCCTCTGTTATTGTCACCTGCAACGCGACCTAACCTGTTGTCCAGGCGAACCTAAACCTCATCATTGTGTGCCATTTGCAAGGATTCTACAAACACTGGCCGCCTCGTTATTCCATAACTTGGATGCCAATCATCTGCCCTGAGTCGCTGGCTATTTCGAGAGAGATTTGGACTCTTCCCCTATCCAAATAAAGGCTGGTAACCTGCTAGACTCTGTCCAGACTTGCCAAACCTTTTCCTTGTGTCGTGCTGTTTTGACAGGGGGTGTCCACTAAACCACTCTCCCGCGTGGGGAGATTATTCTGGGCCGTAGCTCCCGCCGAACGGGTCACATATCCTGCAGCGACTGCCCTATATTAACCATGAGATGACTATTCGCCGCTGGAATATCGTCTCGGAGAATAGCAACCAGAAGTAGTCGGTGCGTTTCGGTCCCCACACGATTTCGCCACCAGTGCATCCGAAGCTCTGTGTGAGTCCATCATTATCGAATACGTAGTCCATTGCAAGGGCTTGACCCTCTCCCAACGGGTTATCACAAGTTACATCTGCGTCTTCATATAGTTCATTCCGGTTGTTGCTCATGAACCTACATCAGAAAAGGACCCCTGCAGGCCTTCACTAGGCTTGGCCATAGTTTGATACTATCCCTTCTTAGCTCAGAAAATCCCTGCCCACTTTTCCACTCAGTAGACTGGGACGGGAAGCCTTATCCAACGTTCCGATACCGTTCCAGCTTTCTTTTACTAATACTGTCACCGGAAACGTGATCAACCATTTTTCTAGGTGGCCCTAAACCTCATCCCTACGTTGTACCATTCTCCAAGAACATCGGCTGCCTCGTATCCCCCAACTTGGACGCTAATCATCTGCCCCGAGTCGCTGGCTCTTTCGAGAGACTTGGACTCTGCTCAAGTTTGCCAAACTATTTTCCTTGTGTCGTGCTATTCTGACGGGGGGTGTCCACTAAACCGCTCTGTATACCCTTCCGCATGGGAAGATTATTCTAGGCTGTACCCCTGCCGAACGGGTCACGTATCCTGCAGCGACTGTCCTACTCAGTCATAGGCGACACTAGACGACTATTCACCGCCGGGATATCGTCTCGGAGAAAAGCAGTCCGTGCGTTTCGGTCCCAACACGATTTCGCCACTAGTGCATCCGAAGCTCTCTGTGAATTTTTTACAGGCCATCATGTTGGATCTGTAAGGGCTTCACTCTCTCTTGGAAGATACGTTCGTTTGTTCCACTGGCAGACATCGTGGGAGAAGCCTTCTGCAGTGCGTATAGCTTCACGACAGAAGAGCCACTTCGCTGCCTTGACCTATGCCCCCAGAGGTGCGGGCTCTCACAAATTCCATTTGGGTTCCCTCCAATTCTCGCCCACGAAGCATATCTCAGGACCATCATTCGTTGTGTCGCCTGGGATGGGACGTATACTAGGGCTAATCACACTTCGATTCTGTGATTGATCACATACTTGATAATTTTCATTCCCGGTAGGCTTTATCTCGCCCTCTGATACCGCTCCCAGCTCTCTGTCCGATCGCTTGTTTCTTTTTTTCGGAGGCAGCCAACTGCATCTTCCACCCGACTTATCACTGGAGGCTACTGACCCAATCTCCGCATTACCTCTCCAATCGTGATCTCAAGCTTCGACTTCCGTACTACTTTCTTGCCGCTTACTAAAGGGGTGCCTCAGGGAAGTGGTAAGTGACTAAAATGCACGAAGACCCATCTATAACCAGACAACGACAACGAAGTTATGCCAACCCCCCATCAAACTGGGTCCGAAGGGACTGATGAAAGATAGGCGGCCTCTATGATTAACAGCGTGTGGCAAGCCATATGAGGAGATGTCCAGTATCTCGTCACCCAACGGGTGTAATCCAATAACACCAAAGCGTTGACCAGCTAATTGGTTCGGATGAGTCTTACGGGAATGAACATTCCAGATACCGATCTCCGATGTGCATATCTGTACATACTACCAAGTGCTGCAAACTGACGGTTGTGAAAAGCATGAGGAATTTATTGAATAGAAACGGGGCTTCGTTTAGACAAAGAGCCCTTCGATTCCCATGCTCACGGGCAAACTCGACCCCCAAATATGATTCCTCTAAGTTCAAGAGAAAGAGAAGACGGACTTCGTGTGCGCCTATGGTTGGGCCGCCTTTTTCGGGGACCCAAGAAATAATTGTCAGGGCACATCCGCCTGACCCTGCACCGCACCCCGCGCTGTACCGCACTACCCCGTTATCACTCCCCATCTCCCCTCCCCCATTTTCCCCCTTCTCTCCATCTCTATTTCTATTTCTATTCTACGGTCGATTTCCCTTTCTCCATGTACTACTACACACCTGACCCTGCCCCCCTGATTGCTGCACGCGCCGCACACACTCCTGCCTACTGAGCAGCCACCTCCGGGATCTCCTGTGGAGACGCCCAGGGAGGTGCGGCTGTGTGCGGAGATGATGTGGCTTCCTCCACGTGACCCTGGCCGCATGTATATAATAGTGCCTGGGGTGGGAACAGAAGAAGCAGCCTTCTTCTCAACTTCCCACTTCAGCTTAAGTGGTTGGGGACGCTCACCCCATGACAGGATCGCCGCTACGCACAGCTGCTACTCGTCCCACCAAGTCCCGCGCGCAGGGA